AGAATTTGCCTTTGCTGAGCTGGAAGTGTGGGTTTGTGCCTTGCTAAAATGTCTTCTCATTCCTAATTTTGTTGTTGGTACTGTCCTTGCTTTAATTACTGAGTTGATACTTCAATATTGCTTATTGTAAAAACATTTGTTCCTTGTATTCAGAACCCTTATGGCATGATTGATTCTCAGAAATGTCTTCCAGATGTAGCCGGTCTTTATGTTTTGAGTCTCTAATAACTCTGAAGAAATCATGTTTTCTTTATACCAAGAAGGAAAAATGATTAGATCAATTCCAACACCTTAGCCCAAGTAACAGAGTTAGCAAAAAGATAGCATCAAGCACAGGTTAGAAAATGACTATTTGTGGTAGTTATTACTCTATCACCTTTAACCACGTGAATTAAATCAAAATTGAGGACCAACCCAAAATATATTTATAGTGAATAAACTCTTTAATATACCAACTTTACCCTTAGAAAGAGTTGGGGAAGAAGGGATAAATAGGCAGAAGTATAGGGAAGTATTAGTAGTGAGGCCAGAGAACACAAGAAGATCATGCAAACTCTAGGAAACTATTGAAGACAAGAGGAAAAGACAGAATGAAAGAACAAAGACAAGAACAGAACAACCTAACCAATAGGAAGGCTAGAAACTGTATTGACTTTCCTTTAAAACTAATGACGAGAGAAGTAAAAATAGAAGAAAAGAGAAAGAAGATATGTGAATTAGGGCAAGAAGAAAAAGGGAGATGAAGAACAATGTGGGAGAATGAGAGAGTGAGACAGAGAGAAAAAGAAGAGATAAACAAAAAAGAAAAATTTGAAAAGAGTAGGGAAAAAAGAAAAATTAAATATGATTCAAAAGCAATTTTAAAAATAAATAAAAAATAAAAATAAAGGGCTTTCTTCAGTGTATGTCTATGCTGTCACAATAGATAACGTGGGCAACAGTGTGCAGATCTAAACCAATTAGTCTCAGGAAGCCAGCAGCAGACCCCTGAGATTTTTGGGAGCAATGCTACATACTTCTAGGGAAAAATCATTTGAGTAGGCCTAGTTCTCCTGATTACAGCCCAGCTAGGACATTCCAGACATAATTGCATTTTGGCCTCTGGTCACAACTGAGACCTCAGTGATCCCCAGATGCTGGAATCCCAGGACAAGACCACACCCGTGGGAGATGCCAGGGAAGAACCAAATCTTCATCTGCATAGTTTCTCATTGTTCTTAGATTTCCAATGCCCCCCCCAGCCTCTTGTTATACCTTGTTTATCCCAATGTGAACTATTGAACTCTCTGCAAGTCATTTGTTACATTTGTTTCTCCCGATGTACTGAACTCTCTGCAAGTCATTCGTTACAATGTACTGAATAAACGGTGTGGTAAGCTGGGGGCTTTTGTCTTTGCTGTCCAGAGCAGCACTGATCAGACCCAAAGCTCAGCTTCTTCTCAGTCTCATTTGTCTACCTTTCCTATAATTCGCCGTGTGCTGCTGTGGCTTGCAGGAGACCAGGACTCACTGCAGAGGTTCTGGTAACGTCCCCTTCCCCTGTTCCCTACATTTGGCACCCAACTTGGATGTGAATTGGATCCAGGGGAGAACTCGCCTGTGAGACAAACTTGGAGTAAGAGAGACAGCACACAGATCTCCCAGGATGATTTCCAGACTTGGATGAGGGACACTGGTGGTAAGTGTGTCCAGCTGTGGGTAATTTTCTGTCTTTGCTGTGTTACAGCTATGGGTCAGTCTCTGTCATTGGAGCAGCATAACTTTGTCAAATTACTTAAGTCACTGTTAAAGCAAGCTATGTACCCAGTACCTAGAGATGCTGTGATAGATTTGCTAAGACATAAAAATGTATATCCCATCTTTTCCCCAGGAAGGGACAACTAACTTAATAGCATGGGAACATGTAAGTACTGTTCTCCATGAGGCCTGGTGAAGGGGTGATCATCTCTATCCCCGAATGCTCCCCACTTGGGCCTTAGTCCACTCTGCTCAGAGGTCAGAGTTGCTAGCCATTTTATTTGTGATTGAAAACTTCCCTCCCCAACCTCTTAATATTTTAAGTGATTCCTCTTATGCAGTTTGGTTGACTCAAAGACTGGAAGGAGCTATGGTCTGCTCTACCTTAGAACCTAAATTATTAAACTTCTTTTTAAGATTACAAAAGACCATATGTCAAAAAATTGCTCCTGCCTTAGTAACTTGGGGAAGAGGTTTCACTTTTGTCCTAACAGATAATGAGAAAACATTGTGGCTGCCCTCCTGGAATGTGAGACCATGGGTCACGCTGGTGGAACCGCAAACATCTCACAGAATGAGTGATAGCACCTTGGCTGAAAGCAATGAGCCAGCTGCACCTCAGGGACCCACCTCACCAGCGAAAACCAACAAATCCATGGCAGGGTCCAGGACTGAGATGATGCCCCCAGAGGAACGATAATTATAGATTTATGGTAAAAAATTTATAAAGGTGGGGGACAACTTCAAAATGCTTTTTTTATATTTACAGGTATAAAAGCGCTTTCATTCCTTCTGATTCTAATCTCAAGAGATCTCTGTTAATTGACTATTCCAAAGTTTTTGAGCAGTTATACAATTATAAATCTAATAATCTAAAAGGGATTATTCAGTCGGTAGAGCATGAGACTCTTAATCTCAGGGTCCTGGGTTTGAGCCCCACGTTGGGTGCCAAATGTAGGGAACAGGGGAAGGGGACATTACCAGAACCTCTGCAGTGAGTCCTGGTCTCCTGCAAGCCACAGCAGCACATGGCAAATTACAGGAAAGGTAGAAAAATGAGACTAAGAAGCTGAGCTTTGGGTCTGATCAGTGCTGCTCTGGGAAGCAAAAACAAAAGCCCCCAGCTTACCACACCTTTTATTCAGTACATCATAACAAATGGCTTGCATAGAGTTCAGTACATTGGGAGAAACAAATGTAACAAATGACTTGCAGAGAGTTCAATAGTTCACATTGGGTTAAACAAGGTGTAACAAAAGGCTGGGGGGCAGTGGAAATCTAAGAACAATGGGGAACTATGCAGATGAAGATTTGGTTCCTCCCTGGCATCTCCCGTAGGTGTGGTCTTGTCCTGAGATTCCAGCATCTGGGGATCACTGAGGTCTCAGTTGTGACCAGAGGCCAAAATGCAATTATGTCTGGAATGTCCTAGCTGGGCTGTAATCAGGAGAACTAGGCCTACTCAAATGATTTTTCCCTAGAAGTATGTAGCATTGCTCCCAACATGAGATTCAAGCTGATTTTTGGCTATGTGTCCCAAGTTGAGCTCCCTGACCTCCTTCTGGGTTGAACTCTGCAAGGTTCTACTGCAGGTTCCAGCTGTCCTTACCCTGAAAATAGTCCAGGTTTTGATGGGAGGTGGTGATCCCTCTGACTTACTAACTAAAGTGGTCTGGTGTACCTTCATTGTAGAGATTCCCTTCACTCTTCTAGTAGGCATTAATTTTTATCAAGGACCTTGAGAGAGGCCCTCTTCCTGTTTCTCACTTCTGCTCTGTCTTCTGGAGATCAGGACAATGCCATTTAGGACTCCCTGTGCCTCTGTGGTGTTGATCCAGATACCAGGGTGGCCAGGAGGCCAAAGTCCAGCAGGATGGGTGTTGGGGTGGTGCTGCCTGTTACTCACTCAGAGGCTGGGATAGGGGTGGAGTGGCAGCCCAGCTCCACATAGCTCAGCTCCTCACCTGTCCACTCCATGCTCAGATGCTGGGCTAGTAATTTCTTGATAAAGCAAAAACTAGAAGACATTGTACTTGCAATGTTTGTTTCTAATATTAACATTGCAAATGTTATTCTGAGTTTGAGTCATGTGTCAATTTTATAAAATATGAATCAAAACTCAGGCAGAACATGTAACAATCTTAATATCAAGGTGCAATACTTGGTTGTATTAAATTTTCGCCTACTTATATTTGTTATGGGATAAATTGGTTAAAGCTGTAAAAGATCAGAGATTTTGTAAAGATTAAACTATTTCATGTATTATAATGTCTTATTTTATTCAAATATCCATATAATCAAGTTAACTGACTATACTTTTGTTCACAACAATTATTTATAAATGAAATACAGTTGCCAGTGTACTTATTATTGAGAGTTTTGGAGAGACATTACAGTTCCTAAAATCTATCTCACATGCAAGCAAAGGTCTGTATATAAATGTAACGAAGGTGTGTTATGGAAGTGATGAGTAACAAAACTGAACTGCATGGGCTACAGTAAAACCTTAAATGAAATGTTCCATTGATCCAGGAGTTTTAGGGATGACCTTCATAATTTACATATGCACTACTTCTGAGCAGTATTGTTTTAAGTAATTGTGGGAGTAAATGCCAGCAGACTGAAAAATGTGTAGTTCTGTTACTTTCTGAAGCAGGAGATTTTAAGTGTCACCTATGTAGGTTGGGTATCAGTGAATGAGCCCCCAGGTGAATGAGTGTCTGTGTCAATTCTTCCCTTTATACAACATCTTACCAAGATTGGCACCCATTCCTTGAGAGAAAGGTCCAACTTCATGGTTGAAAATGCAGGCAGGCATCTGGGAAATATGGTGCAGGTTAGAGGACCATTGCTACCCAATGATGCAAATCTAGTGTAGTTTGAAAAATTCTACCATATTTATCTAAAGATGGAAATGAAGTCCCACATGGGGATGGCTCATGGTTATCTCTGTTTTGGAATGAGGGAAGGAATTCCTTACATTTAAACTAAAAGGCTGACTTGGCTAATGAACAATAGAGACAAAGTTTTTCATGTTCCTATCTATGAGATGACTGCATTTGTATCTTATTTTTTAACCAGGACTATGCACTCAAATTTTACTTCAGAAAAGTTGGGACCCTTGTGCTTTTGTCCAAGTGCACTGCATTTTCTGCTGCTTGGTAGTATGCTAACATTCCTATGAATATCTGTGACTTCCTAACAGATGCATTTAAAATTTCAGCACAGACTGCAGTCTAAATGACTTTGTTCTCTATCCACAGATTCAGTCCTTAGTTTTTACCCTGTGTCATAATCTGTACTGGAAGGCAGCTGACAACTCTGTGAATGACAATGAATGTGCAGGTGAGTAAGAATGTGTTTTTCTACTGATATTACAAGCTCATTGAGAGCAGATATTAAGTCTTAAGTCCAAGAAGGAGGGATTAAGGTGTCTATATTCCAGGAAGTATTTTCTTCACACTGAGTTAATTATAATGGTTGTAAATTTATAGTATCTTATTTACTGTATAATATGTATACAATAGAATAATATAAACATATTTGCCTATGGGTTTCAGTATCTTTGTGTATGTGAATCTACACTATGGCTTTGTACTTATAGAAGAGATGTAAGATATTTTCTCCCTCATTGAGTTCTTTGTACTTTTTATAGAAATATTGGCCTCCTTGCGTGTGCTGCTAACTCTAATGCTGTTAGAATTGTGCTGAATGCAGGGCATAGCTATCTGTGAGAAGTAGAGCACTGCAGCCCATGGCAGTGAGGGAGTTAAATATTTCACCAGGTGAATTCAATCAAAAGGGAGGCAAAGATTTTGATATCAAGTCTGTAAGCTCTGGAAGAATAATGAACGATGTTTAGGAAGAATAGCAATTGCCAATTATTTAAGTAATTTCACACTTAATAAATTGAATAAATAGAAAATAATTTAAGTAATTTCTCACCTACTTCACTGTGAAAAAGTCTTCAAAGTATAATCTAAAATATTTTATAGTTCTGTACCAAAGTCATAGTACTTTCATGCCAGTAATTCAGAATATTTTTATTTGATGGATCCATGTTATGATTAGATATTACTAATAACTTAATTGGCTGTAATCTTAATTCAAGAGTGTAGTAAGAGTATGAATTGAATGAAAATAGAAGGCTCTGGAAATTTTTTGACAAACTGAATATGTGGTACCTCATCCAAAGCTTCTTGAACATGTGAATATAGTGACAACATTCATAAAGGAGACCTGCAAGAATAATATTTGGATTTTTCAGATCGAGAATCCTCATATCTCAGGAAAGTTCATCTAGAACAAAGGCCAATACCCCAATTAGAAAGATTTGTGATGAGTCCTGCTTGACATTTGTCCTGAGCCTCACTCTGCAAATTTGATTCCATTCCAGTACAGACAGACCAAACCCACAGATGGTGACAGTTATTCAATTCAGCCAGTAATCAGGGATGGTGGTTAATCCTTTCACTGTCTTTGGCCTTCTTATGAATAATACAAACAACAATTATAGTAAACGTCTTTGAGATAGGAAAAACATTCTTTGGATTGTTCCACATTCAAATCAGTATAAAATTGGTTAAATAGATGAGGGATGTGAGGCATATGAATGAAAAGGAAACAACCATAGTCATTCTAACTAATGGAAACCAAAACAGTGATAACAATAATTCAATTATGTACGAATGTTCCTCAAAATGATCAGGGCAGATATTTTTATATAAAATGTTGAAACTTGAATGTTTCATAACAACCTTCATAAAAGTTATAACTACCATTCTATTGACAAATTTCATAGGTTCTCAATATCAAATATGTAAAATTTCTCATAAGGAAATTATCCTTCATAATAATGAATTTATGAGTTCAGAGTGTGTTTGTAAAGAGAAGCAATACTGTTGCCCTAAACAATTCAATTTCTCTCTATCCAGGCTTTCCTCTGCCTTTGGGCTATAATCTGGGTTTTTATGCAAAGAACTTTGTCGCTATTCCTCTATCTAAAGTGTAGTGTCTATGATCTTCTAGAAATTAGTGACCATTGAAGATTTGACCATAAAATTCACCCCAGAGGAATGGGTCCTACTGGACACACCTCAGAGAAAGCTGTACAGAAATGTGATGGTGGAAAACATTAATCATCTCCTATCCCTTGGTGAGTCCACCATCATCTCTATCTATATCCAGTCATCCAAGTATCCTAGCATTAGTTTTCTAGAATGCGTGATGCATACCCAAATCAATCTCTGTCTGAATTTGTTTATAAGCCTTACACCTTCCTGAAAGAATGTTTTCAATCACATTCATTTAAAAGATATTTTTAACAACCTTGAATGTTGATTTGATCAATATTTCATGCCTTCACTGCAAGCATGTCTGCAAAACACAGAGAAAAACTATGTATTGAATGAGTGTTTTCCAAATTATAAATTCACTAAATAATTGGAAAAGTATTATTTTAAATTCAGCATTTTGAGTTTTGACCCAGATATGAAAATAAATGTAATGTGAGTATTCTTGAGGGGTTTTTGTTAGATTCTATTTCAATAGTATTCATTTTACCATGGACATATGTATTTTATTATTTTTGAAATATTGATAATTCTACATTTCATTTAAAAAGAGGGATGAATATAAGAATCCTGACAAAGGATCCTCTTTTGGCACATATTCTAGATTTCCATTTAATATTCAAAAATTCACTCAATGACATTTTCTGAATATATTTCCTAGGTCTAACCTCTAGTTCCTTATTTCTTCTCAATTCCATCCCATGTTCTTGATCAAAATATTTTTGTTGCCACAAAAATAAAAATGTGCTTGCTTGCTTTTCCCTGAACAGGATACCAGCTCTGCAAATCAGATTTAAATTTTCTTTCAGTGGACAAAGAAATGCTGTGGATGGTGGAAGGAAGAGTTATTCCTCAACTTCAGAGTCCAGGTAGGGACCACTGAGTGGTGCTTCAGTACACATGGGAGCGTGGTCAGTATGCAAAGTGAAGGCTTTTAAAGTGAGTGATGCTCTGTACAATGTGCAAGAGAACATGGGCGATTCTTTCAAGTTTTCTCAGTATTTCTTTTACATGACCATCTCCAGAATGTGTATTTATCTTTGCTTTTGCTGCAGTTGGATAGAAGATTTATGTATACACTGGAGTTACCATTTCATATAGGGGCTATTGTCCTCAGAGATTCCATTAAAGATTTTTCTCTATATACTTGAACAGGCTCTTGTCACCATTTTAATTTTAACTAATTTAATCTTTACAAACTTCTATAATATCCCATGCTCTATATTTGTGCAACTTACCATTGGACCTCTGTTAATGCATGTACTCAGTTTAAGTGACAGTCTTTGTTATCACTTGTTTCTTTGTAATTGATTTGTATTACTCATAGAGAAAGTAATGTTTCATTTAACCCAATTTGTAAATGCATATATCATACATTGGTACTTCTCATGCCCCTCATTTCCTCCTTAACATTTCCTCTCTCCTTCCCCTCATCCTCCTCTTCTCCAATATTCTCCCAAATCCCTTTCATGGCATCTCCATTGCTGTGGGTGATGGGACGAGAAAAGTTTGTCCAAATTTGTAGTCAAGGTTAGAACCAGGGACTCGTGCTTCAATACAGATTGGAGCCTGGCCATGGCATATGTGAGATGTGAGACTGGTGAAGGGAATGATGTTTCCTAAAATGTAGCCGAAGACCCTGTGAAAAATGTCACAAGTGCTATCATTTAATTCAGTGGAACATCACAAGTCATGCATTTTCCTGTCGTTGTTTCACATTTGGGAGAGAACCATATGTACGTATTGAAATTAATTTTGTGTATATCTGTTTTTGTCATAGGACTCACTAAAGATTTTCCCTGTGTACCAGCACAGATTTTTGTTTCCATTTTAATTTGTGTGATAAATTTTTACCGAATTCTACAATATCAAATGCCTATGACCTACAATTGGACAAATGCCTGCAATCTCTAATTTGACTAATGCCTAGAACATATAATTTGACAATTGCCATTTTTACTCAATTTGAGTGACAATTTTTTGTGGTTTTTATTAGTTGTATGGTAATTTGAGGGACTAATATGTTTCATTTTATAAAAGCTGCACACGCATACAACACATTTTGATTCTTTTCACTTTTCCCTTAGATATATAAATGCCTTTTCCTCTCTCCTTCCTTTCATCCTCTACTTCTCCAATGCTTTTCCCTTTACTAACATGCCAATCCGATCTCAGATTTTCTTCCACTTTCTGCTTATGAGACAAAACATGATATTTTACCTTACTAATCTGACTCATTTTATGCAACATGACCTCAAGTTTAATCATAGCATATTTTGTTTTGTTTAGTTTGTGTGTGTAAAAATATTTCATTGTGCATAAATACATATTCTCTCCCTTCATCCATTTTCCTATGTGCACCTAAGAAGTTTTCATAGCTAGGAAGACATGTGTTTTGCTAGAATAAAGATAGTTAAAGAGTAAAAATACTTTAGGAATTTTTTAGGAAATGTATCAACTTTTTAAGAAGTAGGATAAAATGGTAGGTCAAAATTTAGTCTTTTCAGGAACATTCACAGTGATTTCCATAATGAATTTAATCATCTACAAGAGAAATTTATATCTAGTTTTACCTCAAATCCTCAAGATAATTTATTATTATTGTATATCATCCTCATTCTAATTGGTGAGATGAAATCTCAAGGTAGTTTATATTTGTAATTCACAGATAATTAATGATGTGGAAATTATTTCAATTTAATTTCTTCTCTTTTCATTTCTTCTTTAGAGAAATGACTACATTCATTTTCTTTTCTATTGATGTATATGTATTTTATTTTAACTACATATGTATTTATATGTATATAGATATATGATCATACTGCTCTGTACTAAGGATTGCTCTCAAAGAGTTTCTTCTGTTGTAGAGTTTGCGTCTTCATTTGGCATTTTTATTGCAGTGCAATAGCTTTCTGTTTGCTATTACCTCATTTGTTGATTATTTCTCCTGTTTATTTTATTTTATTTTATTATATATATATATATATATATATATATATATTGGTACATTTTAGGTTTAAAATACATTTACATTTATCATTGGGTGCTTGTACCAGCACATGATGTATCTTAGTTTTTATTTTTTCTCCCATTACCTTTGCACCTCTTACCCTCTCCACTCTTCCTTATTTACACAGACTTTGATTCCATTTTCTTTCTTTCTCATAATTTTTCATTTCCCTTCTTCCCATTCCCCTTCCCCTCCCACTATACTCTAACCCTTGGACGTTTTCTTATTTCAAATTATCAATTATTCATTTTAATCGTTTTCATCCTTTTTTACACTTTCAATTTCTCACACTATAGAAACTATCTGGTATTTACACATGTGTGTCCTATTTATTTCACTTAAGAGTATGGCCTCAATATGCATCCATTTAGCTATAA